ACCCCAAATTTAGAGTAACTGTTCACCAGGTATGGCTTTTTAACTAACTCTTCTGTGATTTCTTTTGTGTGGCTTGGCTGATTTTGTTCATACTTGACAAGTATGTCGTACCATCACTAATTGGAAAAACAATCCTGACCCACCACTACCATGGCAACAGCTAAAATCTGTTTTTTTGAATACTTTCGTCCCAAATTTATTACTTCCTACCAGTCTTGTAGTAAGTGTTCAAATGATCAAAATAACCAATGAATCATCTCAATTCTACAGCTGTGAATGCTCTGACATGTACAATTCGTTTTACTTTGCATTTACTCTGCATTTTCGACATGTTAAAAACAAAATAAACGTATTTTGCGGTATATAAATGTGAAGGAGTGAAACATTCTTTTCGTACATGAAAATGGAGTCCATGTAAACAAAGTATCGGGTTGGAGGTACCACTTTTCAAAATGGGCTTGTCGCACTCTTTAAATTGATGTCACACTCACAAAACCTAGATTGTTGTCTATTAAAATATATATTTTTTCAAATTATGAGTGACAGATATGCCAGAAAGTTGTAAGTCGATACGAAAATTGCCGTTTAACTTTTGTTTTTATTGCCGTTTCGCCAATTTTCACCTCTCATTCTATAGCTGTCATCCCCTCCTTGATTTGAGTGGCGTACGGTCCATTCCAACGCGGGGAAAACGCAGCAAACTTCTCTGGATTTAGAACACCGGGTTAAATTTGGAGGTCACGCTCGCGTTCACGACGCTTGCCAGGATTTTCAAATGTTTCAATTTTTATTCTACCGTGTTGTCAAAACGGCTACTCGCAATGGGTTGCAATTTTCAGAAAATTACCATAAGATATATAGCTAGAATTCATGGTATTTTTTTTTTTGCTTTTAGTTTTGCTCACGTATTTTGTAGTTTTTGAAAGGGTAGCTGCCCACACCCACTTCTTCCGAGGCGGAGTTAATTACCCATGAGCACTTGGTGCAATCCAAGGGATTGAGCGGTCCCCTTTAACCAAGTGACTGAAATCCCTAATATTAGCTGTACACCACATGGAATATTACGATTTGGTGTATGTTGAATGAGCTTCATCATAGACCATCAACATCAAAGTACCAGGAGGTTTCTGCTGGCGAAGTTGCGGCGTTACCCAGTTCCAAATAGAGATACCGACGCCAAATGAGCGACATTTTTACCGGAAATCAAGATTCATTCAATCCACGGCTAGCAAGCAACATCACAAGCGAAGTTGTAGCGTGCAGCTCATCAACGACCGCTGTCCACGAAAGTCATTCCGTCAGTAGAGTACCGCAGTTGTGACGGCATGTTTGCCAATGCACAATTCTGTGGAGGAACTTTTAACTCAATTTAAACTACGTATGACTGATTCGAAACATTCTATCGAGATCGGACGGTGCCCTATCGTGCCATCCCTTCACCATTGTATTCAAACGAACCGTGTGGTATGCTGTTACATTCTCCTTCAAACCCGGGATTCAACCATTGGGGTCGTTTTAATAAAAAAAAAACATCGCAAATCATGCAAATATAGCATTTTTAAACAAGTATACTAAAAAAGAAATGCTCAGCGATGCAAAAGAAGGATAAATATTACTTTTCAGAATACACATCTCTGTTTATACAATCCTTCACATATTCTACTTCCAATTATTCCTGCGTAAAATGGAATAGCCTCTTTCCATGTTGACATTCTGAGTAAAATCACGTGATAGGCTGTTACATACTCTTTCGCCGGTGTCTGGAAAATGTGTTTAATTAGCTCTCATTCAAGCGACAATGTATATTTCCCAGTGGGAGTGAACCTAGTTCGAATCTGCCATTAAAAAATAGGGGTGTTTTCAGCAAAAAACGAATAACCCTTGAGTGCACACAATACACTGAATTTTAGAACAAATCTTGCATTAGTTACAGCAGCAGAATATCACAGAAATATCAGACGAAACATGGAAACACTATATATTGTATTTTGGCTTGAAACCTCTCTATTGCAATTCCAGGAATTACCCCCATATGTGCAACCATTTTCCACCTTGGTATCACCCAAACCTGAAAACAAATTCTTAATACCACGCTGAAGCGTTTGGTAAAAACGGTAGAAATGTTGTTAATCACCTCAGCTATACTGATGACGCGTGTGTGTTTGCGCCCTCTATCAATGGTCTACGTAACTAGTTTACACCTGTGAGAATTATGCCAAGGAACATGACATATTATACAACACTAACAAAGTCAAATTTATGTATTTTCCTTGTCGCCACTCATCTAGCGATTGCCCTCCAGTGTAGTTAAATCAGGAAATGGACCTCGTACAACAGTTCACATACCTAGGACTTTTGACTTGAAATACAAGAAACTGACAATTCAGAACTTGAAGCCAATGTTAAATGATAACACCAATGATAACCAAGCACGACTCAGACAAGAAACGAACTCACCCGGCATAATAATGTGTATTTATCATATATCTTGTATTGCCCGGCCTCGTAACGCTATGGGAATCCCAATGCGCAAGCCGTGCAATAATTTTCCATATCACCGGGCCTCGTTTACCATATTTGGTAAATGCGTCTATTTCCTGGAACTACTTTCTGTTTATAAACAACGCACGTAATTTGAGATTATTGTCTGCGCTTCGATAATGGCTGACGATATTATTCGGTGGATGGGAAATATACCGAACGACCAGTTGGACTCATTATTACCCTGACGAATGCCGGAATTCCACCACAACAAATCATAAAGATAAGTGGTCACAAAAACGTGTCAAGTTTACAGTACTACGATACTGTTTTGTCTTCATGGAAGATCATCGGCGCATTTCGGATCATTTGAGTCGAGCTACACCCGAATCTAGGCCAATCTAAAACTGTAAACCAAACTGCTTCTTGTCAAGCAGTTGTTTCTCGTTCACCGACTACAGTTTTAACAACTGTGAAATCAACGTGGGTTTACCTGCGGCTATAACATACTCTAAGAAAACGTCCGTGTGTTATGTGTAACTTGGACAGTCAGTAAATGACCAACTTAGCTGGACTGTAGTGTTCATTCTTAACTCAGACAACTAATAAATTGTTATAAATTTACGTTCACTTGCTGACTTATTAAAACGTAATAGGTTTTCTTTTGGGGCCAGCCGAGCGAAAAATAGCATAATTAAAGACTTGTTTTCATATAAGGTATATAATAAAACCTTTATAGGCTGGATACGATTTTTGCTGCCCTGGGATCGTACGGCTTACGCGCTTCTGCCGCACGACCTCGGGCCACGATGCCGTATCCAGTCTATAAAGTATACTGTCGTATTTATGAGTTATGAAATAATATACATTCGTTGTATCTTGCAATGTATTGCACGCGATATTCATGTACGGGCCCGTCATTCTACATTCGCCGGCTTCTCAGTAATAAATCTATTGGTTTGATATCTTTTGTATACACGACTTTAGAATTGTCAACAATATTCTATATCAAACGATCGCCTGGTTAATTTTTAACTATGTATGATATTTTAATATCTCCCTTGCGGTCAAGTTGAAGTCATTGCATGCATCTACCTGTTGCTGACAACATCGCTGACTTGATCAAAACTTTAAGATGCCTCGCTACTGGAGTCACGGGTTATGCGGTTGTTTCGGAGACCTTGGTCTATGCTGTCTTACATATTTCCTACCCTGTGTCACAGCCGGTCGTAATGCAGAAGCTGTGGGGAAATCGTGCCTACTCCACGGACTCTCCGTCATGGTTCCGATCCTGCATATGATATGTGCCGGCAGCGTTCGGGGTAACATACGAGACGAGCGGGACATAGTCGGCGGCTGCGTTGGAGATATGTTACTGCACTGTTTCTGTAGTTGCTGCGCTTTAATACAGGAAGCGCAAGAATTGAAAATTCCTGCACCACAGGTAGCCGTAGTGGAAAGAAAATAAAA